TAATTTCAGAAACTCTATTTCACTCATGACTCAACATATGGGGTTTATATAGTCCCCAAAGATACATTATATTAATTGTATTCAAGATGAATCATTCTCTTTCAAGAAACCCTTTCAAAAATCAATAACCAATTTGACTTATCCTTCTATAGACTTCTAATCCATCTTTTCTTCTTGATGTAATGATTCTCTCACTTGATGCAATGAACCTTTTTATGACACTTGAACAAGTTTAATTCCAACAGGAATGTGGTTGAGAATAGACGTTGATTAGCTGTGAAGTGAGATCCGACGCATCAATTGCCTGCTTAAGAGGAGCGAAACCAAATCTCTTAGTCCTCATAAATAGGTGGACCTAAGCACAGACTGACTACAGCTTCAGTGGCTTTACTCAGCTTCCCAGTTCTGTATGTCTGATTCATGCCAAGGTTGGTGAGACTCATCAATCCAAACCTGAATGGGTCGGATGAGAGTAGATCAAATGGGAAATGGCATCGGGATAGATTTCCCTGCCCTTTTGACAGGAAAGGTCCATAATGGCTCAGCAGAATTAGGTGCTTCAGACATTTAAAAGCTGCAGTCCTCTTCCCTCAGTTTCAGGTTTTGCCAGTCATTGGGAAGATAACTGAAACAAGAGGCAACTCTTTGTCCTGCTTACACTCAGCGAAGCAATTCCAGCTTATTGCTCAAATCTCCTAATAATCAGATGCATCGAGATCCAAAGGACCCTGGCTTGGCTTTTAAGTCATGCGAAAGAGAGACAGATGGAGAAAGAAGGACGAGCCTGAGATACTAGAGGCAATGAATCCAAGCACCTGTTGACACCAAGTTCCAATCAAACGAAAGAGGAGTGGGGTATGAGTCTTCTTTCACTCAGCACCCCACCTTTCCTCTATAAATTTGCAATCTTTTCTTCAAAGGTAGCAGTTTGGGTCCACCTCCATGGAGCTCATCATCCATATTATTCCACCCCCATCATCGGCACTATCCCATGCTGAAGCAGTGTCGAATGGTGCCTGAACTGTTGCAGTTACCTTGTTTTCTTAATTAAAAATCGGTTCTTTATCAGCTTGATTTGCAATCAACATCACAGGATGAATAGATATCGACAGAGGAGAATTCTGCCCCCGGTAGCTTTTACTCTACAGTCAATCTCCCAATCATCTCAGCAGAAGACAAGGAAGAAGAATCAAAAGACGTGATCATTCGGTCTCATGCTGCTGGATTTGCATTACGGAAGGAGGACTCAAACCTTACAAATAAAGATAAAAGAAGCACAGGATTCGAACATAATTCTGGAGTCAAACTTCTCTGGTGGAAGATCGAGGTATGGCAAGAGATAAATCAGAAGAGACCTCGGGAGATGTCACCGGGAATAGCGGCAGCAGCCGTGGAGGGTCTGCTTCCGTCGAAGCCCGCGGCGAAGGATGCAGGTAGAACCCCTTCTCTGCGATCGCCCGGTCCTCCGCCCATTTAGCAGCCTCTGAGTTCGGGTGCGGCGGCCGGTTGAAGGGGTCAGGGATCAAGGGCGTGACGGGACTCAGCACTAGCGAAGGGAAGTCGAGAATACTGGGCGACAGGATCTCCGGCTGCTTCCGAGGAGAGAATCCGGCAGCGGTGACGGGGGAGTTGGGGTTGGAGTTGAAGAATGTTGGTATGAGTGGGCTAAGAATCTTGAGGTTCTTGAGGCTGTTCCGCCGCTCGTAGAGCTTGAAAGCAGGCTTCTTTGGGCCGGTAGCCTTGGCGGCCGGAGCAACCGGTGCCTTCCGTGCAGTCGAGTTAGTGGCGGCGGCTGCAGCGGCGGCGGTGGCGGTGGCGGCGACGGTCTCGGCTGAGCCTGTGAGCATCTGGACCACTTGTTTGAAGGAGGAAGTGTCAGCCTGGACGAAGGTCGTCTGGTACGGATTCACCTCGCCATCTCTCGCAACGGATTTGGGAGTCAGAGGTGGTGGAGCTGGTGGCGACGACGACGGCGGAGCAGCAGCCGTCGTTGTTCCATTGGTGCAGCTGTAATTGCTGCTACTGCTGCCGAAGGTTTCTCGAGCTTTTGGATGGCTTTCCATTTCATCCAGTGGAGGAAAAACTCATCTCTGAAGAATATAAGTAGAGGAAAGGAAGGCTGACAGACGGAAAAGAGTTGCAGAAAGGAGAGAGGACGGTAATGGGGAGGAGAGAAAGCTAAAGGGTCTGTGAAGGGTGGAGGAGAAAGATAGCTAGAAAACTGAAAGCTCTCAGTTGGCTTCTCTTTTTCGAAACAAAGCTATTATGGTAGAGTAGAATCTGTCTGTTCTTTTTGATTGGCCGATGCTATTTGACTCCTCGCCGCCTCAAAAAAAAGAAAAGAAAGGCAAAAGAAGACATAAAGAGATCAGTCACTGAGCTTTTATTATATTCCAGAAATATTTATGAAGACATAAATGGGCCATTGGTCCACCTCCTCTCCTTGAGCTCCTTTTAGTCTTCTCCACTGCAATCTACCAAAACTCAAGTTAGATATAACGTTGCATCGACTCGAGAGAATCCCTTGTTTATTTCTCTTTGGAACCCACCAGCCTCGAGTGCCAATGTGACTGTACAGATTGGTGGGGTGGTAGATCCATGGACTGGACTTACTCATGAGTCATCCTTACTCATCGTGCTCTTCATCTTTTCGTTATCTGATTTCGCGTTCAAGAGCTTGACGAGGGAGGAGGACGGGAGGAACTGATTGCCCTTCGAACCAGGTCGAGTTTTCGGCCGTTCTGTGGGTGAGGGGGAGAGAAGGAAGTCATGAGGGGAAGAGCATCCATTTCTCATTTATTGGTTATGTGATCTCGTCTGATGAAAGATGCTGAGTAGTTTTTATGAGGAACTCAGCATCAGCAGAGTTAGATCTCGCAGCCTCCGTAACAAATGAAGCCCTCGCACCTCCTTAGAACACCATATATAAATGCTCTCTCTCTCTCTCTCTCTCTCTCTCTCTCTA